AAAAAAAAAAAAAAAAAAAAAAACACAGTGGGAGACGCTGGGCTCAGGTGTAGGTCACAGGATTAGAGGTGGCCAGATTTGTAAAGTCAGTAGAGGTAAGGGTCACATGGTCAGTGGAATGGGTCTCTCAGAATTAGTGAAATTGAGAAACAAGAAACACAGGAATTGGGGGTCACCACATCAATAGATTTAGGGGATTTCCAGAATACATTAAGTAAGAGATTCCAAGTGCAGTGGGAAAGAAGGCGTCATAAGACCTGTAGGGATGGGGCTAGGAGGATGTGGATTCTAAGATCAAACCACATGATCAGATTAGTACCTTTATAAGAAGAAACACCAAAAAGATCTCTCTTTCTTCATGTGCATGAACCAAAGGAAGGCCATGTGAGCACACAGCAAGAAGGTAGCCATCTGCAAGCCAGGACGAGAACCCTCACCAGAAGCTAAATCAACCAGCTCCTTGATCTTAGATGCTCCAGAACTGGGAGAAATAAATTTCTGTTGTCTGACACACCCAGTCTATGGTATTTTGTTATGGCAGCCTGAACGAAGACAGGGTGTGTCTAAAAATTGACCCCCTTAAGTTTTGGCATGCTCTTTCCTTGGACCATGGGGAAAAACACAGGAAACATACAATTTTAATTTTTTCCCTTTCCTCAAGATTGTAATTCTCTTTAATCATTCTAACCCTTCAGTAAGTTCTGAAAAAGCCAGTCAGCCCTTTATGGTAGTGCTGTGGTGCATAAGTAGGCAAAGCAGTGAAGGGAAGAGTGCATACTACACCTGATAGTGTCATGATAATTACTAATACAGCTATCTTTGTAGTAGTGGTTCCTATGAGACCTTGGGCGTGTAATTTAACCTCTCTGTTATCCGTGCCCTGTCTGTAAAATAGTACATTTCTCATGCTGTTGTTGGGAAGAATAAATGAATTGCTATACATAAAGCATTTAGGACAGTATCATGCACAGAGTAAGTACTCTAGAAATGTAAATTATTATGAGGTTATACTGCCCTCTCAAGTTCCTTCTTCCTTTGTCTTTGGATAACACTTGATTAGAACCACATCAGTAGGTTAAGATAGTCTCATCTGAGGTTCATTGGCAGGAATATTCAACAAGGACTCTTTGGGAATTCACAATTGAGAACACAGTATGTTCTCAATAAATGTGATCATAACATATAGCTCAAAATGCACCTCAAGATATGGATATCCTTTATCAGTCGTTACCCTTTTTCAGTAGTTACAACTATTTCAAATACTAATCAACCAATCAAAGGCATAGAGAAGTCACGGGCACAATTCTTTAGCAGAGTGGAAGATAATATGTCTCAAGTTCCTCAGACGCAGGTCTACGACATAGATTCACATGCAAGTGATTTATTAGAAAAGTTATCACAGTGAAAATTAATAAGGGGAAGCAACAAGGGGAAGGTTATTTAAGGTGAGGGAATAAATTACTAGGTCTAAGTCAAGTTTTGAGAGTTAGAGAATGCCAGCTTGCAGTTATAGTTAAGAACAAACTCGGAAGTTAGAGTGCTTGGCTTTGCATAGTGCCTCCACCATTTGTATTTGTCATACAACATTGTGTAAAGTTTTTTGCATGTGTAAGGAAGATAAGCCCTGAGCTAACATCCGTTGCTAATTCTCCTCTTTTTGCTGAGGAAGATTGGCCCTGGTCTAACATGCGTGCCCATCTTCCTCTACTTTATATGTGGGACTCCTGCCCCAGCATGGCTTGATAAGCCATGTATAGGTCTGCGCCCAAGATCCTAACCGGTGAAGCCGAGGCAGCCAAAGTGGGGTGCATGAACTTAACCGCTATGCCCCTGGGCCGGCCCCAACATTGTGTAAATTTAAGGCATATAACACGTTAATTTATTACATTTATATATTGTAATATGATTACCATTTTAGCAATAATTGCTAAAATCTCTATAACATTACATAATTATCATTATTTTAGTGGTTAGAATAATTAAGTTCTAGTCTCTTAGCAGGTTTGTTGATATAATACAATATTGTTGTCTATATTCACTGTGCTGTGCATTTGATCCCAGGGCTTATTTACTACTCATAAGTTTGCACCCTTAAACTTCATTTCTATTCACTTTCCACATCAACCAACATATTCCAGTAATACTGAGTTTTATTCAGCTCAGCAAATGAGGAATATTTTCTTCACAAATGCAGTTACCTCTGTTAAGCCTTTTTCCTCTCTTCCTTCCCTTCATTAGAAAATTTCCTTTAATACTTCAGGTCTCATTCCATCTTCCAAGAAACCTTCCCCAAAATCTCATGTCAGAGTTAAGCCTTTCTCCCTAATTATTGTTTATGGCAATGCAGAGACAAATATTAAACCCCTGTGATATTGGATTAACTCTTGACTTAAAGTTCTATATACTCCTTATATTTCTCTTACTAATAAAGTCATTTCTGAACTGAGCATATAATAATAAATTGTTAAGAAAAACTTTGGAAAAATAAGAGATATAGATTCATGATGCTGCTAGGAGATAAGCTTATAAGCTATATAAAAATTATAAGCCTGGTAGGTAAAAATAAAATCTTGGAGTATATAAAAGACACTATATGTCTTTTTCGTATTTCACAAACATCCTGATATATTTCCTGACATTGAAAAATTCTACTTGACAGTTT